GCAGGTGTGAGAGCGGGCAGCAGGTGTGAGAGTGGGCAGCAGGTGTGAGAGTGGGCAGCAGGTGTGAGAGTGGGCAGCAGGTGTGAGAGTGGGCAGCAGGTGTGAGAGTGGGCAGCAGGTGTGAGAGTGGGCAGCAGGTGTGAGAGTGGGCAGCAGGTGTGATAATTCCCAGAAGCACCAACAGATATAACCTGGCATGTGTTGAGCCGGAGATACTCACCACCAGTAGTGGAGCTGCAGCTGCCAGGCATCATTGCTTGGCAACTCTAACTCTGACATTCTTGCGTACATTTAGAGGGTTCAGCTACCCTGGCAGCCAGCCCTGACACCCGGCCCTGACACCCGGCCCTGACACCCAGCCCTGACACCCAGCCCTGACACCCGGCCCTGACACCCAGCCCTGACACCCAGCCCTGACACCCGGCCCTGACACCCGGCCCTGACACCCAGCCCTGACACCCAGCCCTGACACCCGGCCCTGACACCCAGCCCTGACACCCAGCCCTGACACCCCGGGCCCCGACACCCGGGCCCCGACACCCAGCCCTGACACCCAGCCCTGACAAACCCCGCCCTGACCAACCCGGCCCTGACCACCCAGCCCTGACACCCAGCCCTGACACCCGGCCCTGACAACCCGGCCCTGACACCCCGGCCCTGACAGCCGGGCCCTGACACCCGGCCCTGACACCGGCCCTGACACCCAGCCCTGACCCCCCAGCCCTGAAACCCGGCCCTGACACCCGGCCCCGACACCCCAGCCCTGACACCGCGCCCTGACAACCCCCGGCCCTGACAACCCGCCCTGACACCCAGCCCTTACACCCAGCCCTGACACCCGGCCCTGACACCCGGCCCTGACACCCGGCCCTGACACCCGGCCCTGACACCCGGCCCTGACACCCGGCCCTGACACCCAGCCCTGACACCCGGCCCTGACACCCGGCCCTGACACCCGGCCCTGACACCCGGCCCTGACACCCGGCTCTGATACCCGGCTTCCTCCACTACTTGTCCACATGCAACCTTAATACTCCCAAGCCTCGTTTAAGACACCTGGACGCCGTTCCGAGTACACAGGCTCCAGCCGTCCTTCAGAGTACACAGGCTCCAGCCGTCCTTCAGAGTACACAGACTCTAGCCGTCCTTCAGAGTACACAGGCTCCAGCCGTCCTTTTAGAGTACACAGCTCCAGCCGTCCTTCAGAGTACACAGGCTCCAGCCGTCCTTCAGAGTACACAGGGGTCCAGCCGTCCTTCAGAGTACACAGGCTCCAGCCGTCCTTCAGAGTACACAGGCTCCAGCCGTCCTTCAGAGTACACAGGCTCCAGCCGTCTTTCAGAGTACACAGGCTCCAGCCGTCCTTCAGAGTACACAGGCTCCAGCCGTCCTTCAGATTACACAGGCTCCAGCCGTCCTTCAGAGTACACAGGCTCCAGCCGTTCTTCAGAGTACACAGGCTCCAGCCGTCCTTCAGAGTACACAGGCTCCAGCCGTCCTTCAGAGTACACAGGCTCCAGCCGTCCTTCAGAGTACACAGGCTCCAGCCGTCCTTCAGAGTACACAGGCTCCAGCCGTCCTTCAGAGTACACAGGCTCCAGCCGTCCTTCAGAGTACACAGGCTCCAGCCGTCCTTCAGAGTACACAGGCTCCAGCCGTCCTTCAGAGTACACAGGCTCCAGCCGTCCTTCAGAGTACACAGGCTCCAGCCGTCCTTCAGAGTACACAGGCTCCAGCCGTCCTTCAGAGTACACAGGCTCCAGCCGTCCTTCAGAGTACACAGGCTCCAGCCGTCCTTCAGAGTACACAGGCTCCAGCCGTCCTTCAGAGTACACAGGCTCCAGCCGTCCTTCAGAGTACACAGGCTCCAGCCGTCCTTCAGAGTACACAGGCTCCAGCCGTCCTTCAGAGTACACTGGCTCCAGCCGTCCTTCAGAGTACACTGGCTCCAGCCGCCTTCAGAGTACACAGGCTCCAGCCGTCCTTCAGAGTACACAGGCTCCAGCCGTCCTTCAGAGTACACAGGCTCCAGCCGTCCTTCAGAGTACACAGGCTCCAGCCGTCCTTCAGAGTACACAGGCTCCAGCCGTCCTTCAGAGTACACAGGCTCCAGCCGTCCTTCAGAGTACACAGGCTCCAGCCGTCCTTCAGAGTACACTGGCTCCAGCGTCCTTCAGAGTACACAGGCTCCAGCCGTCCTTCAGAGTACACAGGCTCCAGCCGTCCTTCAGAGTACACAGGCCAGCGTCCAGCCGTCCTTCAGAGTACACAGGCTCCAGCCGTCCTTCAGAGTACACAGGCTCCAGCCGTCCTTCAGAGTACACAGGCTCCAGCCGTCCTTCAGAGTACACAGGCTCCAGCCGTCCTTCAGAGTACACAGGCTCCAGCCGTCCTTCAGAGTACACAGGCTCCAGCCGTCCTTCAGAGTACACAGGCTCCAGCCGTCCTTCAGAGTACACAGGCTCCATCCGTCCTTCAGAGTACACAGGCTCCAGCCGTCCTTCAGAGTACACAGGCTCCAGCCGTCCTTCAGAGTACACTGGCTCCAGCCGTCCTTCAGAGTACACTGGCTCCAGCCGGCCTTCAGAGTACACAGGCTCCAGCCGTCCTTCAGAGTACACAGGCTCCAGCCGTCCTTCAGAGTAAAACAGGCTCCAGCCGTCCTTCAGAGTACACAGGCTCCAGCCGGCCTTCAGAGTACACAGGCTCCAGCCGTCCTTCAGAGTACACAGGCTCCAGCCGTCCTTCAGAGTACACAGGCTCCAGCCGTCCTTCAGAGTACACTGGCTCCAGCCGTCCTTCAGAGTACACAGGCTCCAGCCGTCCTTCAGAGTACACAGGCTCCAGCCGTCCTTCAGAGTACACAGGCTCCAGCCGTCCTTCAGAGTACACAGGCTCCAGCCGTCCTTCAGAGTACACAGGCTCCAGCCGTCCTTCAGAGTACACAGGCTCCAGCCGTCCTTCAGAGTACACAGGCTCCAGCCGTCCTTCAGAGTACACAGGCTCCAACCGTCCTTCAGAGTACACAAGCTCCAGCCGTCCTTCAGAGTACACAGGCTCCAGCCGTCCTTCAGAGTACACAGGCTCCAGCCGTCCTTCAGAGTACACAGGCTCCAGCCGTCCTTCAGAGTACACAGGCTCCAGCCGTCCTTCAGAGTACACAGGCTCCAGCCGTCCTTCAGAGTACACAGGCTCCACCGTCCTTCAGAGTACACAGGCTCCAGCCGTCCTTCAGGTACACAGGCTCCAGCCGTCCTTCAGAGTACACGGCTCCAGCCGTCCTTCAGAGTACACAGGGTCCAGCCGTCCTTCAGAGTACACAGGCTCCAGCCGTCCTTCAGAGTACACGGGCTCCAGCCGTCCTTCAGAGTACACAGGCTCCAGCCGTCCTTCAGAGTACACAGGCTCCAGCCGTCCTTCAGAGTACACGGGCTCCAGCCGTCCTTCAGAGTACACAGGCTCCAGCCGTCCTTCAGAGTACACGGGCTCCAGCCGTCCTTCAGAGTACACAGGCTCCAGCCGTCCTTCAGAGTACACAGGCTCCAGCCGTCCTTCAGAGTACACAGGCTCCAGCCGTCCTTCAGAGTACACAGGCTCCAGCCGTCCTTCAGAGTACACAGGCTCCAGCCGTCCTTCAGAGTACACAGGCTCCAGCCGTCCTTCATATTACACAGGCTCCAGCCGTCCTTCAGAGTACACAGGCTCCAGCCGTCCTTCAGAGTACACAGGCTCCAGCCGTCCTTCAGAGTACACAGGCTCCAGCCGTCCTTCAGAGTACACAGGCTCCAGCCGTCCTTCAGAGTACACAGGCTCCAGCCGTCCTTCATATTACACAGGCTCCAGCCGTCCTTCAGAGTACACAGGCTCCAGCCGTCCTTCAGAGTACACAGGCTCCAGCCGTCCTTCAGAGTACACAGGCTCCAGCCGTCCTTCAGAGTACACAGGCTCCAGCCGTCCTTCAGAGTACACAGGCTCCAGCCGTCCTTCAGAGTACACAGGCTCCAGCCGTCCTTCAGAGTACACAGGCTCCAGCCGTCCTTCAGAGTACACAGGCTCCAGCCGTCCTTCAGAGTACACAGGCTCCAGCCGTCCTTCATATTACACAGGCTCCAGCCGTCCTTCAGAGTACACAGGCTCCAGCCGTCCTTCAGAGTACACAGGCTCCAGCCGTCCTTCAGAGTACACAGGCTCCAGCCGTCCTTCAGAGTACACAGGCTCCAGCCGTCCTTCATATTTCACAGGCTCCAGCCGTCCTTCAGAGTACACAGGGTCCAGCCGTCCTTCAGAGTACACAGGCTCCAGCCGTCCTTCAGAGTACACAGGCTCCAGCCGTCCTTCAGAGTACACAGGCTCCAGCCGTCCTTCAGAGTACACAGGCTCCAGCCGTCCTTCAGAGTACACAGGCTCCAGCCGTCCTTCAGAGTACACAGGCTCCAGCCGTCCTTCAGAGTACACAGGCTCCAGCCGTCCTTCAGAGTACACAGGCTCCAGCCGTCCTTCAGAGTACACAGGCTCCAGCCGTCCTTCAGAGTACACAGGCTCCAGCCGTCCTTCAGAGTACACAGGCTCCAGCCGTCCTTCAGAGTACACTCACTCTACCACATCAACTTTCTCAAAATTTTCCTTCTTCATTATTTAATTCAATATTTAAGTTTCTCACATCATTTAGTAATAATTATTTAATTCCCTATTTAAAATAATGATAGTTCTCATTACTGTTAATTCACTGTTATATTACTAATTATTCCGTCCATCTGTATATTAATTTTGTTTATTATAATCGACAATTAATATTTATTTAGTTTTCTGTTAGTAATTATTCTGGTGATAAAAAAATACTTATAAAACTAGAATTACCAACATTGTTAAATATAATGATCATTGTTAAGTCGTAACAGCTTGATAAAGCTCCTGGAGAGCGAAACGTTGCCAAAATAAAACATCGCATTAGTTGCACTTGTGTCCTTTTACCCGATTAAAAAAGATAATTGTATATAAAGTTTGTAATTATAATATTTGTGTTGTGCAGGTGATGGGTATCCTGTGCATGGCGTGTGCTGCCCCGGCCTGGACCAAGGGCACACACTGGTTCCTCTTCGTGGTGGTCACTGCCTTCGTCTCTACCTCCATCTGGTGTTTTATCTACCTCCTCAACCTCAAGAATGCTATCAACCTCCCCATTGATTGGCTACTCACTGTAAGTGTCTCAGAAGAGGTTATTACCTCCCCATTGATTGGCTACTCACTGTAAGTGTCTCAGAAGAGGTTATTACCTCCCCATTGATTGGCTACTCACTGTGTCTCAGAAGAGGTTATTACCTCCCCATTGATTGGCTACTCACTGTAAGTGTCTCAGAAGAGGTTATTACCTCCCCATTGATTGGCTACTCACTGTAAGTGTCTCAGAAGAGGTTATTACCTCCCCATTGATTGGCTACTCACTGTAAGTGTCTCAGAAGAGGTTATTACCTCCCCATTGATTGGCTACTCACTGTGTCTCAGAAGAGGTTATTACCTCCCCATTGATTGGCTACTCACTGTAAGTGTCTCAGAAGAGGTTATTACCTCCCCATTGATTGGCTACTCACTGTAAGTGTCTCAGAAGAGGTTATTACCTCCCCATTGATTGGCTACTCACTGTAAGTGTCTCAGAAGAGGTTATTACCTCCCCATTGATTGGCTACTCACTGTAAGTGTCTCAGAAGAGGTTATTACCTCCCCATTGATTGGCTACTCACTGTGTCTCAGAAGAGGTTATTACCTCCCCATTGATTGGCTACTCACTGTAAGTGTCTCAGAAGAGGTTATTACCTCCCCATTGATTGGCTACTCACTGTAAGTGTCTCAGAAGAGGTTATTACCTCCCCATTGATTGGCTACTCACTGTAAGTGTCTCAGAAGAGGTTATTACCTCCCCATTGATTGGCTACTCACTGTAAGTGTCTCAGAAGAGGTTATTACCTCCCCATTGATTGGCTACTCACTGTAAGTGTCTCAGAAGAGGTTATTACCTCCCCATTGATTGGCTACTCACTGTGTCTCAGAAGAGGTTATTACCTCCCCATTGATTGGCTACTCACTGTAAGTGTCTCAGAAGAGGTTATTACCTCCCCATTGATTGGCTACTCACTGTAAGTGTCTCAGAAGAGGTTATTACCTCCCCATTGATTGGCTACTCACTGTAAGTGTCTCAGAAGAGGTTATTACCTCCCCATTGATTGGCTACTCACTGTAAGTGTCTCAGAAGAGGTTATTACCTCCCCATTGATTGGCTACTCACTGTAAGTGTCTCAGAAGAGGTTATTACCTCCCCATTGATTGGCTACTCACTGTAAGTGTCTCAGAAGAGGTTATTACCTCCCCATTGATTGGCTACTCACTGTAAGTGTCTCAGAAGAGGTTATTACCTCCCCATTGATTGGCTACTCACTGTGTCTCAGAAGAGGTTATTACCTCCCCATTGATTGGCTACTCACTGTAAGTGTCTCAGAAGAGGTTATTACCTCCCCATTGATTGGCTACTCACTGTAAGTGTCTCAGAAGAGGTTATTACCTCCCCATTGATTGGCTACTCACTGTAAGTGTCTCAGAAGAGGTTATTACCTCCCCATTGATTGGCTACTCACTGTAAGTGTCTCAGAAGAGGTTATTACCTCCTCACAAAAAGTTTATAGACTCCCTTTGCGGTCCTATAATTTTTACAAGATTTCTATTAAATTCAATATTCTTCATTTTAACATTATATATTGTTAAGTTTGTTAATTATTGGCATCAATTTTAACCGGAATATTGGAAAAATCATTCATTAAAAATATATATTCTCCTCTACCATCTTTTTTTAGACTTGTTTAAAAAGTAATTAAAAAGACGCATAATTCTGCTAATGCCGTTAAAGTAATTCCATTTCCGTTATTTCATAGATAAACGGGAACCAGTTGTCAAAAATTTAGGGAATTATTATGAAGTTAATAATGAAATTACTATGTAACTTTGGCTGGAAAGTTAGGTTATCATCGCAGTTAATTAACCAATATGTAAATATTGTTTAAACATCCATATAACGTTTGTGCATCTTGTTAATGACTTCTGCCACTAATTTACTGGTCTGGAACACTAACTTATGTGTATGTGCATGTGTATATAACACACACACACACACACACACACACACAGACACAGACACACACACACAGAGGCGGGGCCAGGAGCTGTGACTCGACCCCTGCAACCACAACTTGGCGAGTAACTAGGTGAGTACACACACATAAATAACGGTACGGGTGGGGGTAGAACCCATGGCGAGTGAGTCGTGAAACTCCAGCCCAGTGCGTAAGCCACTGGACCAGCTGCTACAATAAGATTCATATAACCAGGTATATTTATACACCATAGGGAGGTTAGCATGGGCCACCACTGTGACCAAAAATGCAAGTTTTTACAGATGAATTATCGTAAGCGTGGCGGTGACGAACTCTAGCTCATGTTCCCTCAAAGCCGTCATCAAAATGGATCTTGCCAAAGAGTCACAATGGATTCTGCAAGAGAGAACAGAGGCACTATCTAGACCACTAAGATCTACGACAAGTCACTGGATACAGAACAATTGACAGGTATCTGGAGAACAGCGAATGTAGTCGCAATATTTAAGAGACCAGTGTTATCGTTAAGTCCATCATGCAAGTGGTGAGTGCACCTGGGAAGAGGCGAATTTATGGATGTTATGATGGAACTTGATAATGTATCTCGCAAGAGATTGAGACAAAACTAAGAAACAGTCAACGAATGGATGGAGGACCTGAGGACAGATGTTTGACTGGCAGGAGTAACCAGCAACACCTCACAAGACTCAGTACTAGCATTAGTATTGTTTATGGTATATGTAAATGACATGCCAAAGGAGACCGGTGTATTCTTGTTTTCAGATGTTAAACTCATGAACAGAAAAAGTAACGACGACGATAAAGATAGGATATAAATGGATCTGAACAGATTGCAGGATTGGTCAGGTAAGTGGTTGCTTGAAATAAACCCCAGAAAATACAAGGTCATAAATATTGGAAAAGGGACAAGAAAACCGGAAATTTGAGTATAGATTATGGGAACAGACGCTGCAGACCTCACTTAAGGAGAAAGACGGAGCACATAGTCTGAGGAACACATCAAATGATTTATCTCAAGAGTCCCTACAAAATCATTAATGAACCTTGATTAGACATGTCAGGCCCATCTTGGAGTATGCACCACCTCCATGGAACCCTACACCTGATGAAACACGTTAGGAAATTGGACAAACTAAAGAAACTAAACCTGACATTACAGCATAGACGAACCAGGGAAGGTGAGGTAATGATATACAATGTACTTACAAAACTAGATAATGTGGACAAGGACAAACTGGTCGAGAAGTGAGGAATGGGTACACGCAGACATAGTTGAGTCACAGGGATATCAGGAAATATTTCTTCAGCCTCAGGTGGTCAGGAAGTGGAATAACCTGGACGATGCAGTAGTGGAATGATGCTTTATACATAGGTATATGAATAGGTATGACAAGTGGCTCAGACTTGACCCCAACAATCACATACAAGTGAGTACATACAGGTGAGAACATACACATGTACATGTGTAGTACAGACACACACATGTGGATAGTATATGTGGGTAGTCGTCAGCCATGAAATTCCGAGAAAATGGAGGCTTAAGCAGAAAGAATGTGCGCCTTGGAAAACTAATATGAATCAATATTCAGGAATCTAGGAAAGGATTACAGGATGGAGAAGCAAAACATACAAAGATTAGTGTAACTAACAGTTACATTAATCTCGGTAGAATCCGAAAAAAAATAAAACAACCTCTCTCATGCTGGACCTGGACCGGATTCGTACAGTTCCTTATTTATATAGAAGTGCAAAATACTACTAGCACGAACAGCAGAACACTAGAACAGTGGTAAAAAGAAAAAAAACAGTCATCTTAACATCTCACATCATAAAACTTATGGAACAACACAATCTACACAACTCAAACAGTATGAATTTGGGGCTGATCATACCTGTGACAACTACTAAATTATTATGACAGAATCACAGAGGCGCTGGTCTTTGTAAAGAAGTTTGACAAATGCGATCATATGGGGTGAGGCACACACCATGAGTGACACGGTTATTCAACCTTCTAACAGAACACTGAGAGGGTGTAAACTATACACGATCCAGCATAAACTAAGCTGAAAGCTTACTACCTCAAGACACTATCTTAGTGCCTCTACAGTTTCTTATTTTCATAGCGTAAATAAAACCACTCGCCAGGTTCGTATCATCATTTGCAAATGATACCAAAATAAGAATGAATATATAACATCAATTGAAAACGTGGAAAAATTGCAAGAGGATGGAACCCAAAGTGTTCCAGTGGTCAGTAGAGAAGAACATGATGTTCAGTGGTGGCTTAAATTTCATCTGAGGAACAAATGGTACAATACTGTGACTGAAACAATACAATAATAACCCGCAACTCACGAGATCGTAATAACATGACCACAGACAAGACGCATAATGCGTCAGGATTGAACTCATGACTAGTGAGTTTTAAGTCACATGGCAGGTGGTCCAGTGGCTGCACTCTGCTCTCACAGTGTAGAATCACCTACCATGAGCTCGTCCGTGATCAGTGTTTCATTCTTTCTATATCTAACCTAACTGGAACTTAAACAAATCACATGCACGTAGGAGACAAAAAGACTTACAACGACGTTTCGGTCCGACTTGGACCATACACAAGTCACACTGGTCCAAGTTGGACCGAAATGTCGTCATAAGCTTTACTCTCTCCTATGTTCATGTAATTTGTTTAAGTTCCAATTGCTTAGATATATAAATAATAAACCATTTATGATGGACGAACTCATGACAGGTGATTCCTGACTCTGTCAGAGCAGAGTGCAGCCACTGGACCACCTGCCATGTGACGTCCTAAAACTCACCGGCCATGAGTTCAATCCTCACCCATTTCGTTACTTGGAACGCTATACAAAGTGCAGGAAGATCACCTGATATAACGATAGAAACACGCAGAGAACCCCTGTGTAATAATTTTACCTGAATATAACGGGGTGGGTATTGAAGGGTAATATTGTCTGTGGGTGCTCGTTGCTTGGTAGATAGCATCCTCAGTTCTCACACTGAGGGTCCGGGATCG